TTGTTTATTTATTTGAGAGAGAGAGAGAGAGCATGAGAGGGGAGAGGCCAGTGGGAGAAGCAGACTCCCTGCTGAGCAGAAATCCTGATGTGGAACTTGATCCCAGGACTCCAGGATCACGACCCGAGCCGAAGGTAGTTGCTTAACCAACTGAGCCACCCAGGTGCCCAATTTTAGCCATTCTTATAGGTGGTAACTCATTGTGATTTTGATTTGTATGTAAGTTCTTATTTTAACCAAGAAAAAAATGTGTAACAAATTTTTTAAATAATATATTTGTGATCTGTCCATTTTAGCTGGGGTAAGGAGGAAGGGATTCTCTGTCCCTGGGCCTCACCCACTTTCAGAGCTCTAGAAATAACTACATCTGTGGGAGTAGATTCCAAATGAGCAGTGACTTCTCTTGGAAGCTAAAATGAAAGTTCTTTCCCTACTCCCACTTTGTGAGATACTACATCAATCACTTTCCTTGGTGGCTCTTAGTTTCCTCATCTCCAAAATTGGGATGGATTACATTATATGAAGGTCTCTTCACTCTGAAGTTCCATGATGCAAAAATAATGGATGAGAAGACATTCTGGTAAAGTATAAAGCAAAACACAGATGGGTCAGTGGCATCACGCTTGCCTGTCCATGGATCATTGTGGGAGGATCTATGCTAGAATCTTGTTGTTTCTTTCCAAGTCAGACCACTCCTCTCCAAGAGTAGCAAAATCAATCATATGGAAGTGGGCAGAAATGGTGGGTGTGTACAGCATGAAAGAGACAGATGGGACACACCTCTGAACATTTTCTGCTACCTATGGCTGACACAGAAGTATTACATCATGTGTCCCCTCACTGTGGGCAGTCCCAAAGTTGCCTTTTCTAATTGGAGATAATCTCACTGCTTCAGCAGTCATCGTGCTGTGCAGATGTCTCTCACATCAACATCTTGCTGCTTAACATTTCTAACAGCCTAGAGGCATAGAGCATTATAGCTGAAGACTTGGTTTCTCCTAAACCAAACTCATCTTTGTTCTTTATTCCTCCCTTCAAACCCAGGCCTGCTTCCTAACATCTGTCACAGGCACCAATTCTAGCCTGCTCTCTGCTTCAGAATTTTTACCCCCTTTCCTTTGCATTTTATAACCACCATGGAATATGCCTGATTTAGTCTTTTGAATTTATTCTCTGTCCTACTTTCATAGTCCTACCTAGGACCTCATTTCAGCCACTCTCTCCACCAAAAAGACAAAATCATTATTGAAGTTATTTTGTATCTGACTTTCAGTTCATTTCCTATCCTCATCCCAGATGAATATTCCTAAAATATGTTACCATGTGGCTATGCCACTGTTTGCCACAGATTTTCCTGTTTCTTTTGAGATTTTCTGTGACTTTGAGTCTTACCAGCTTTGTAACTTCTATTGCTCCCTAGAGCCTTCTCCTTTCTTTAATTAATTAATTCATTCATTCCGTGTATACATGGCCTGCGCTTCCTTCATTGGAATGCTTTCCCCTGTCCTCTGTCCCCTGTGCAAGACTCATATTTTCAAAGTCTTGGTCCTGCCATTTATGAGGAGCTTTCCCTAACCTCCAGTCGGTATTTTTGCTCTGAGTTCTTTGCAACACCTTTTTGACACATGAGCGTTCTACTATGTCTTACTTATCAATCTAGTAATGTTTCCAACATGGAGTTTCATCTTTTGACTAGAATGTAATTTAAGTTCTTTGTGGTAAGGAAACTTGTCACTAGAGAGGGCGTTAACATTTGCAAATCTGCTCGTCATAAGAAAAACTTTAACACCACAAAGACTGAACACGTAGCTCACAAAATAAAATATTCAGTTTCAACACTTAAGATACTTAAAAGATGTGAGATGCCATATTTCACCTATTAGGTTCGTAAAGATAAAGAACCATAACATAGAATTGTAAAGGTGCAGAGAAATAAGCAGTCTTCTGGTGGGAATAGCAATTGGCTGCTATCACCTTCTGGAGGATCAAGTTGGGAAAAGTGGAAGAAACTTTATATTTTTAGTCCATCAATTCTATTTTTAGGAATGCATCCAACCCCCCCCCAAAACCAAACATGCACAAAGCTATATGTTGAAGGAGGTTATCATAGTGTTAAGTAATAGGGCAGTAGGTAAATTATGATTCAATTTTACCATGGAATATCATGCAGTCATTAAAAGTAATAGATGTAGGGTATATCTTTTCTGACTGCTCCTGACCCTCTTCTGGTATCAGCATCCTGGTTTTCTTTTGGGGAACGACTCTTCCCTTCCCCACCTCAGTCCATGTTAGTTTGGCTGTCTTAGCTTGGGGTTCTCAGAAAAATAGACTCTAAGAGATTTTCCTGCAGAAAGTTTACTGGGGGGAGTGTCAAAATCGACACTTGTGGGAGAGGCTAGGGAGTGGGGATTGGACAGAGGGAGGAGCTGACCTGTGAAGTAGTTGCCATAAAGGCCTCAGCTGATCGCAGTAAGGAGCTGTGGAGCTGGGATCTTCTTTCAGTACTGTTCCAACTTGAGGCAAGGGGGCTGGGTTCAGGTCTTATGCATCCCACATCAATTTGGATGAGTGCTGATGCTGGGAGGGATGGCTCTCAGCTAAGGGCAGTTCCCAGAGAATGACTAGCTGAGGCATCAGCTGCAGCTACTCCCAGCAGCTGGGGGAATGAGTGCCTCAGTCCTAAATGGGGAAGTTGGGTGGTGCATCTCTCATCCTCCTCCTGGCCAGCCACACCTAATCTGGGCTTTCCAACTCTACATAACCCTTGCTTTCAAATAATGATTGGTTCAGGGTGGGCACATGACTGAATAATGTTGGTAAGATCCAGTATGGGGGTTTTTGTTGGAACAGTGAGAAAGAAAAGAGGAGCTCTTGCTCCTGAGTTCGCTGGGTTGGGACAATGAAAGCATGGAACGAACCTCTTAGAGTCTATTTACCACTGAAGAAAATGAGGCCAATACCCAGAAAAAGCAGAGTCAAATGATAGAGGTCCCCCGACCTACTTTTTGGGCAATTAAATCCACTACTTTAAGTCCTTGGCTTTTCAGTTATGTAAGCTAATATATTACTTTTTTGCATTACTCATTTTTTTTTAAAGATTTTATTTACTTATTTGACAGACAGAGATCACAAGCAGGCAGAGAGGCAGGCAGAGAGAGAGGAGGAAGCAGGCTCCCTGCTGAGCAGAGAGCCCGATGCGGGGCTCGATCCCAGGACCCTGAGATCATGACCTGAGCCGAAGGCAGCGGCTTAACCCACTGAGCCACCCAGGCGCCCCTGCATTACTCAATTTAAATGAGTTCTGACATAACAGGTGACCCTTGAACAACAGGGGGGCATTGACCCTATGCAGTCAAAAATCCACATATAAATTTTGACTCCCCCAAAACTTAATTACTAATAGCCTACTGTTGACTGGAAGCCTTACCAATAACATGAACAGCAGATTAACACATTTTGTATGCTGTATGTAATTTTTACTGTACTATTCTAGTAAAGCCAGAGAAAAGCAAATGTTAAGCAAATCATAAGTTAGAGGGGTGCCTGGGTGGCTCAGTCATTAAGCCTCTGCCCTCGCTCAGGTCATGATCCCAGGGTCCTGTGATGGAGCCCCAGGTTCGGCTCCTTGCTCAGCAGGAAGACTGCTTCTCCCTCTCCCACTCCCCCTGCTTCTATTCCCTCTCTTGTGGTCTCTGTCAAATAAATAAATAAAATCTTTAAAAAAAAAAATCATAAGGAAGAGAGATGCCTGGGTGGGTCAGTTGATTCTTGGTTTTGGCTCTCATCAAGATCTCAGGGTGCTGATATCCAGCCCCAAGTTGGGCTCCATGCTCTGCGGGGAATCTGCTACTCTCCTTCTCACTCTCCTCTGTCCCTCCCCTCTCTCTCCCTCTCTCATAAATAAGTAAATAAATAAATCTTAAAAAAAAAAAAGAAAATCATAAGAGAAAATATTTTGAGTACTGTACTGAAAAAAAAAAAAAAAAAACAAAACCAACCCAACAAGTGTAAGTTGACCCACACAGTTCAAACCTGTGTTGCTTAAAGATCTACTGTTGTACAATGGTGTACAATAACAAAGGCGATATTCACGATACATTAAGTGAAAAAAATTAACACAAAACATACATTTTACATATAGCAACGATGCCTGTTTTGTAAAACAAACTAATGTACACAGTTTAAAAAAAAAAAAAAAGAGGTGGCTCAGTAGGTTAAGAGTCTGCCTTCGGCTGAGGTCATGATCTCAGGATCCTGGGATCCAGCCCCGTCTTGGGGGAGTCTGCTTGAGATTCTCTCCCTCTCCCCCTCCCCCTGCTCTCTTTCTTTCTCCAATAAAATAAATAAAAACGTTTTTTAAAAAATGCAGCACAACAGAAACAACATTATAGTTAAATGGTGAGATGGGACGGGGAGGGGTGGGAGGCTGGATTTCATTTCCTTCTACAGGTTCCGCAGAGATGTCAAGGCCTGGGATTTGAGCCCCGCTTACCTTACAGACCTACCGACTCAACTGACGGGACTCGCACGACACGGGAACAGGTGACTCACACACTGGTTACCGTCTCATGGGGCTCCTCTACCAACCGTCCTCCCTCTCCCCCCATCCCCATTACAGCAAGGCCCGGAAGCCCCCAAGAGCTTACTTCAGCTCCTTTGCCACGTGGGCTCCAGCCACCCCGAGTCCCAGTTCCGATTTCTCAGGAGTGCGTCTCCACCTTCCCGAGCCCCGGAGCCCCCTACCCCCGCAGGTCGCGCCCGCTCCTCCAGAAGCGCCACCGCGCTGAGGAGATGGGTCTGCCCCGCGGCTCCGCGTCCAGGCGCAGGTGCGGCTGCTATCCACGTTTAGAGAGCAGACAGAGTTAAGTGCCAGGCGGCTCGGGAACCCACACGGTCGCTTACCTGCGGCTTCCGTCGCTCTGGAGACGGCCAGCGGGAGAGGCGGGGCAGCGGCGGCGGGGCGGGCGCAGCGGCTTTCCCGCCCCGGGGCGGCGCTAGCGCACGGGGCCTCGCGGCTCCCGCGGCCCGGTTCCCCCGCCTTCGGAGCCCAGCGCCGCCGCCATGTCTTCCGGGGCCAGTGTGAACGCCCTGCAGCGCCTGGTGGAGCAGCTAAAGCTGGAGGCCGGCGTGGAGAGGATCAAGGTGAGACGGGCGGCGGCGCCCTTTCCTCGCGGCGCGGTGACGGCGCGCTCCCGCCGGGGAGGCGTGAGGGGAGAGGCCGGCTGCCCCTCGCCGCGGCTAGGTCGTGGTGGGCGGCCGTGAGGACGGCAGCCGGGTCCTGGCCAGCTTCCCGGCCTCGGCGGGGATGCGGCCGGTGATAGGAGGCCGCGCCTGCTGGGCCCGCGGAGACCGGCGAGTCTTTCCGAGCGGGGCCCCGGCCGAGTGCCCTGGGGGAGTTTCCCAGTCAGCGGTGAGGACCCGGCCTGGGGGGGGGGGGGGGGGGGGGGGGGCGGTGCGGGGCGCACGCGCGCAGACCAGGAATGCGGGCGGCGCGCGGCCGGCCTGGCTGGGCTGTTGCGGGAGGATGCGGTCCCGGCCTGCGGAGTAGACGAGGACCGGCCTTACTGAAGGATTGAGAGCGCGGACGAAGACGGGGCTCAGGTTTCTGGCGTGGTGACAGGGCGTCGAGCGCTGCCCTTAGCCCCCGCAGAGAAGAGGGAGAGCGGCTTCGCGGAATGAGCACTTCGGTGTTGGACGAGTGGACTTCGCCGAGATGTCCAGGTTGAGCTGGAGGCTCAGAGGACAAGGTTGAAAGGAGTCCTAGGAATGTATGGGAGTAAAAAATGTGTGTCAACGAAAAGACCGGAGGGTGGACCCCTGGACCAGCCCAAAGATGGCTGAGAGGAGAGGAGAACCAAGAGAAAGCAAGGAAGGAGGGGCTTTCAAAAATTTGAGGCTTCGTTATTATGTCTAATGTTTAGTCAGTTGATTCAAAAGCATCTGTTGTATATTGTGTTGAGCAACTAGGGTAGCATTATTGTAGAATGTATGTTCGTGTGTATGAATGAACACTGCTGTGATATTCCGTGTACTTCCATAGTGCCTTCTCTCTGTAGTTGGCGCTATTCTAGGTACTGAGAATGTGGTGATCATAGTGGCAGAGATCATCAATAAACACATAAGTAAAATAACTTTAGACCATACGTGAAGGTTATAAAACAAGATCAGGAGAGTTATGGCATGCAGAAGAGGTTTTAGTAACAGAGGTAGTGGTAGAAGAATCTGGATTGTAAAAGGGTAGGCAGGTCTTTTTAAAAAAGAAATCTGGTTTTAAAGAGGAAACAACTTTATTATTTTTTTTTAAGATTTTATTTATTTATTTGAGAGAGAGCATGAGAGGGGGAATGTCAGAGGGAGAAGCAGAACTCCCTGCTGAGCAGAGAGCCCGATGTGGGACTCCATCCCGGGACTCCAGGATCATGACCTGAGCCTAAGGCAGTCGCTTAACCAGCTAAGCCACCCAGGCACCCTTATTTCTTTTAATTTAGGAAATGAAAAGCTTTATTTCAATGTTGAGGGAAAGGAACAAACTATTTTTAGATTGAGGGGGACCAAATAGAGAAGGAGAATTGGAGGTAGAGAAGACAGGCAGTCTGCCTGTGGGGACATGGGATTGGAGGGGCAACTTCTGAGATAGGAAGAAAGGAGATCAGGACATGTATGAAGATGTTTCTAGATGTGTGGACTTAAGGACTTGTATGATGACATTTTTCTTTGTGAAATAGAAGGCCAAGTTTTCTTCTAGGGCTGAGGGGAGGGAGCTAATGCAGTCACAAGAGTGAGGATGAGGAGAGGATTGTTGGGGATGGGAGAGGAGCCCCTACCTGGCACAACCATAGGCACCTTGTGACTCTGAAGACCGAGCTGCTTTGAGAATGGAGACTGATTGCCCTACTTGTGGGGTTTGTTGTTTGTTTTTCCTCCACTAGCACTTAGTCACCCAGGAATCTATGAGTGTCCAAGGTGGATGGTAGTTGATCCAAGTAGTGGGTTAGCGGAGGAGGTATAACACAAAGATGGAAGTGGGGGCAAAGGGCAAGGAGCTTGAGGGGCTGGCCAGAAGGAGGCTGAACGCATACTGGATAGAGAAGGAGCTGAGCCAGCCTCCTGGTGATGGGCTTGGCAAAGGGGGAGGAGGCATTCTCCTGAGGTCAAAGAAAGGATGTAGTGAGGAAAAAGTAGCATTCTGGATGGGTAGGAGAGATTGTGATCAGAAAGTAGGAAGTTAAAGTGTAAAATTTCAGATGTGGAGCAGTTATAGGTGTTGGCTGTAACTTGGCGCTGAGGAGAAGGCCATCTGAGGAAAGGAGGTCAGGAAACTGAAACTAGGGTTGTTGAAAATGGTCAGGATAATGTTGGCACCTGAGAGGGAAAGGAGAGCTGGGAGCCAGTTGCCTGCCTATCCTGTGGAGTAGCTAGGCAAGGTATTTTCTACATTTAAAAAATAATTTTGTGTGATGAAACAGACCCAGAGAATTCAAGTGAATTGCTCAAAGTCACACAGATAATAACTTTATTTGTGGGGTGTTCTCATATGTAGTATGATTTCAGGTGTTTGGTGGGCTTCTCTAAGGCAGCACCCTAGGGAGTCACAACATTCCAGGATCTAGTTTGCCTTATTGCAGGGCTCAGTAATGAATGGATGCTCTCAGCACATCCACAGATGCCTTCTCATTAGCAGACTTGCTAACTAGTAAATAAGCCAGAACACCAGGTTTCTAGCATATAATGGAGGGCATCTCTTACCAGGAATTGGAATGCTTAATATTCCAAGGGCCCCTTCTCTGTTTTGGAGAAATCTCTGAGAAGTTGCTGGGTGAGCTTGGACTCAATCCAAGGAAAGCCATATAATTTGGGTATCCTACCTCCCATGGCAAATAACAGCTTCTAACTGTTTGAGCTTGTACTCCACCCCAACCCCACCCCCAAAGTCTTTTTCCTGTAAAAGTGCTAGAGAAATGCTGGCCACTTTTATTCTTCTCTTATTTTCTCTGCATATCCACTCAGCTTAACTTTTTGTCCATGTTCTTTAGGTAGAGTCCAGTTAGTCCAATTTCTCCAGGGGTCCTGGAGGTTAGTCTCCCTTCTACCCATCATGTGTGAGTTCATCTGTTCCCTTTGATGGAGCAATAGTAAGCATGAGCATAATTGGTTCTAAATTCCTTGTGAATTAATAGCTGCTATATATAACCATTAATTCCAATAATAATCAACATGAACATGTCAGAACTTCTTTTGAGGGAAAAGGAAGCTTAACCATTAGTTTGATAATATTATTTTATGTTTTTATATTTATATAATAAAAACTGTTATTACATTAATGAAACCAAAATTCGTAAGGCATTCTAGGAACTAGTTGGTAACTATAACATGAGTTGATTTTCCAGGTATTTAGAAACTTGGAAAATTAACACAAACTAGTAGTGATACTTGAACAGCAGTTGGAACCAATTTTTTTATGATAGGAGTGAGATTTTATACAAAACACCTTCTCAGTGCACATAAAATGGAATGTGAGGAAAGCCTCGATGTACAAATCTGCATCAAATGGAGGCTAAGAAGAAAGGCAGAATAATATTTATCAGTGCTAATAAACTCCAAAACTTAGTCACTTAAAGCAACATTTATTAATTCGCAGTTCTTAGGTCAACATTTTGAGCTGGGCTCAGCTGTGTAGTTCTGCTGATCTTTGCTGGACTCTTCCATGCATCTGCAGTCAGTTGGAGGGTTGGTTGGTAGCTGGATGACTGAGGATGGCCTCACTTACATGTCTGGAAGTTGGGAGGCAGGTGGCAGGAGCTCGCTCACTGATTATTCTCCACAAGATCTCCAGTAGGCTAGCCTGGGCTCATTAGATGGTCTTACAGTTCCAACCACAGCAAGAGAGGTAGCTGCAAAGGCTCTTCAGACCTACGACCTAGAAGGTGTCCATTATTTCTACCACATTTTCCTGGTCAAACCAGGTCACAAGGCTAACCCAGATTCAAGGGGTATTAGGGAAAGACTCTTGTTGGTGAGAGGAGCTGTAAAATACTGTAACTGTTTCTGTAGTCTGCCACAAATGTACTGCTGACTGTGTGTCAACACTATTCCGAGTGTTTTACATGCATTTAGCTCATTTAATTGTCTCATCAACTCACTGACTCACATACTGTTACAAAATACATTTCACAGATAAGCAAACAAAAACTGAGAAATTAAGTTAACTTGCCCAAGATCATACAGGTAATGATGGAGCTGAATTTGAGTCCAGGCATTTTGGTTCCAGAGGCTGCACTTTTACCCAATAAGCTATCCTGCCTCAAAAGCTTGAAGAAAACTTGTCACTTTGTTTTGGGCAGACTGGATAAGGCTTCAGCCTTGTAAGCATTAAAACAGTCTGCTCTGGTGCCTGGGTGGCTCAGTGGGTTAAGCCGCTGCCTTCGGCTCAGGTCATGATCTCAGGACCCTGGGATCGAGTCCTGCGTCGGGCTCTCTGCTCAGCGGGGAGCCTGCTTCCCCCTCTTTCTCTGCCCGCCTCTCTGCCTGCTTGTGATCTCTCTCTCTTTCTCTCTGTCAAATAAATTAATAAATAAAATCTTTAAAAAAAAAAGTCTGCTCACATGGCAAATCTGACTATATAAGCGCATGCTTTATAAGTGAAAATTTGTAAAGGAAGTATTAGAATGAGCTATTTCTTTCTTTTTTTTTTTTTTTCCTAGACAAAGAACTTTATTAATCTTGTTTCAAACTTTATTCCCAGGCTTCTTCAGCTTAATTAGCTGCAAAGAATGAATTGTGTATAAGCAAAAACTGAAAAGAGCTGCAGTGTCCAAGGGGCTTGGGCTTAAAAATATTAGAGATCTAGATTTTATCAGATCCATGAACAAAATTTTAAAAAGCAGTCATAATATAAAATAGCAGCTCCCAGTAACTTCTTCAAGTTTTATCTTCTCCAGAAGTTGACTCAATTCAGTTTGCTTCATTCTTGGAAGCTTCATCAAAATTCTCCACAAGATCTGGAACTTCATCATCATCATCCTCTCCGGTAGCAAGTGGTGCTTTTCCATCCACAGATTGTTTGGGCAGAGCTTCAGCCAGTCTTCTTAAACTAGTCAGACTGCACCAAGTTGGTTTAAGATACTGGGTAGCATTTCTGTCAGCTGCTTTGTCTCAGCATGGCCTGTAATGGTGAAAGTGTTCGCTGCCAGCAAGGCCTGAACTTTGGGGTTGTTAAAGTGGATCACTGTTCCTTGGTTTGTGAACATATTCACTTCTTCAATACCAGAGATATTGTTTACCCCTAACTTCTTTAAGGAGAACTGAAGTTTTTTGTCATCTGCTGTAGCTGTTCTATGAACCACCTTCTTTCGGCGAGCAGTTCCTTTCCCACCAATGCGCACTTGTGCTTGCAGTTTGGCGAGTTTCTCCTGGTTCATGATAGTTTCTTTCATCTTGTTGGAGCGGAAATGGGACCGCGCGGGGGACTAGGGTTGGCGCTCAGGGGGTCTCGGGCGGACCAGCTGAGATTAGGTGCACACACGCGGGGACGCAAGATGGCAGCTAGAGGGCTAGAATGAGCTATTTCTTTACCAGGTCAGTCTCACAACTAGGATTCCAAATGGATCAAAGATACCAGCTTTATTTTTCTTTTATTGAAGAAGCAACAGAATTAAAAAATACCCTAAATCATGGAAACTGTAACATGAACTTTCAGCAAAAAAAAAGACTTTTGGAGATCACAAGATGTGGGACCTTTATCAGGCTGTAGGATCATTTTTCAGGGTATCAGATGGCTCAGCTGTGAGCAGCACATCAAGCTGGTGTCCCTTTGTTTCAGGTCTCGCAGGCGGCTGCAGAGCTGCAGCAGTACTGCATGCAGAATGCTTGCAAGGATGCCCTGCTGGTAGGTGTTCCAGCTGGAAGCAACCCCTTCCGGGAGCCCAGATCCTGTGCTTTATTCTAAAGACCGGTGAGTAATGACACACTGTGCTGTCTTTGGGCCATGGCATTATCACAGGGCTTCCCAAGGAATCGGGCAGCTGAGCTTTGAATATCCACTATTTGGGGGAAATTAAAATAAGAAACAGTAAAATGCACCTGAGGGGTGACTCTAGTCAGCATGTCTGTGGAATACATCTCACTAAGTGAGTCTCAATCCTCTTGGGCACTAACTCATGAGAAGTTAATATCCTTATGTACTTGAGGTCTTTAACTGAGTTGGCTGGTAGTAATTTCATGACCTTAATCCTACCATCTCTGTCCTAACACCATTCCAGTGTTGTGATTTGCTGTTTGGTGCTATCAGTAGACTTGCTGCTCTCTGGACCAAGGACTCCCCAGAGGAGACTTGTTCCTACCACCAGCTATGATTTCTTTCCTGGAGGCTTTCAGAATATATGTTTTTTTTTTTGTTTGTTTTTAAGATTATTTATTTATTTGACAGAGATCACAAGTAGGCAGAGAGGCAGGCAGAGAGAGAGGGAAGCAGGCTCCCCATCCAGCAGAGAGCCCGATGTGGGGCTCGATCCCAAGACCCTGAGATCATGACCTGAGCTTCTGAAGGCAGAGGCTTTAACCCACTGAGCCACTCAGGTGCCCCCAGAATATGTTTTTGTTTTTTTTTTTAAGATTTTTATTTATTTGACAGAGAGAGATCACAAGTAGGCAGAGAGGAAGGCAGAGAGAGAGGAAGGGAAGCAGGTCCTTGCTGAGCAGAGCACCCGATGCGGGGCTCAATTCCAGGACCCCGGGATCATGACCTGAGCTGAAGGCAGAGGCTTAACCCACTGAGCCACCCAGGTGCCCCAGAATATATGTTTAATAGAGGAAGAAATGTAGTTATTGGGGAAAAGCGTGGGTAGAGTTAAAAGAGCTTTACAGGGGCACCTGGGTGGATCAGTGGGTTAAAGCCTCTGCCTTCAGCTCCGGTGATGATTCCAGGGTCCTGGGATCGAGCCCCGCATCGGGCTCTCAGCTCGGTGGTGAGCCTGCTTCCCCCTCTCTCTCTGCCTGCCTCTCTGCCTACTTGTGATCTCTCTGTGTCAAATAAACAAAATCTTAAAAAAAAAAAGCTTTACAAATTGAGTAGTGAAATGAAAACACCTGTTTGGTGGCCTATTGGGAATTTCATGGGTCCTAACGTGTTGCGTTTCCTTCATTCACATTTTCACTCCCCCCCCACTTTTGGGGAAGAGGTCAGGGCATAGATTACTGTAGTCTTTTGGGGCCAATATAGTTCAAATTATGTGTTCTGAGGGATTTTCATAAGACTTAAGTAAACATCTTAGGTCCTTTTTCATATATTTGCAAAAGGGAATTACTCATATTAACAGAAGTAATCATGCTGTTAGGTACTATTATACCTTTTAATGGAAAATGTCTACATTTATGGTATTAAAGTAATAGTCTTGTGCTGGCATAGCATTTTCCTTTTTACAAAGCAGCTTAATGGGTGTTATTCATTCAATAATGTAGCTTAGATATTTTTTATATTGTTACTTTCTACTTTGAGAACACTAAAGTGACCTGAATTGATGACTAGTTAATTATATGTATAAATCTTACTAACGTGAAAACCTACCTCATTCTCTTTTCAGTAAGGAAGAAGTTCACTGAGGAATGCTTTTAAGCGCAAAGTGATGAATAACTAACTGCCTCCAAGTCTCAAGAAAACACTTTCTCCAGCCAAATGACTTAGATATTTCAGACCTTTCCTTGGCCTGGTCCTATAGCCAAAATTTTATAGAAATTGATGAGTTTTTACTCAGATAAGGAAACTGGGTGAGGGGGAAGACTTTAGATAATAATGGCCAGACTCTTTTTTGGTAAAGTGCTTTTATATTTAAGACAAACAAAAATGTTACCACCAAATACACCTCTTTCATAAGCAAATTACTGGTGTTTCTATTCCTGGAATATTGTTTGTTTTATTTACTGGATGTTTACATTTTGGGAAGGCAAACATTTTTGTTTGTTTAAAAATTGAATATTTGTAATTTGTTGTTCCCAAGATTTTTATACCATAACAAAACTTGTTCTTTTCTCCTGAATTTACAGTTTCTAAATGAAGATAAGCAAGTATAAAACTGGGGGAAGAGTAGGCTTTGTTAATCAAATGCTGTCTTGATTTTTCTAAATGAGAAGATTCTTTCATTTGTAACACTAAACATAGGAGCTGTTTCTTAGCAAACTCGTTTGGAAAGATTCATGTTGTGTTTTGTATTAGATTGCCCCATCCAGTGTCTGAAGCAGATTTGGTCTTTGTTTTCTTAAGTTCCTCTACTTTATAGTTGTGGTTGTACTTAAAACAAAAAAAAACTACGTTATTTTCATGTCTTTAAAAAAATGTGTTCTTTAGAACATTACAAATGAGTAAAATAATGTGAAAATACTACAACCTACATAAATTCTTAATGTCACAAGTGTTTTATTTTGATGATGTGCCTTTGATTTAATTTGGAACACTTTTAAAAGGATACTTTGTGTTTGTAAAAATCTTTGATGAGCTTGGAAATAAAATTTCTGCTTAATTCATCATTTTCTATGATAGCAACATTTTGTGTCAGATTTTGTTTTAAGGTGTCATGGATTTTTGTTTCCTTGTGAAATTGAGTGCTAGAAGTGGGAAGTGAGATTTTGCTTATAAGTCCTTGTAGAACTTTGTAAAAGAAATTATATATATATGTATATAAAATGAGCAGAAACACCTCAATTTCTGGCAACATTGCACTTTGAAATAGTTACGTATAAATCCATAAATAAATGAAAATATCTTTTAGCATAATTAGTGTTTCCAAGTAGAGAAAATAGAAGCCATCATATGGAAACTCCCTTAATCTCTGGCCACTAAATTTCCAAATCTAAATTATCTGAATCTCTCCCTCCATTCAATCAAAATTCAGGTGTCCCTTTTCTAACCCTGCTATTTGTTCTCTGGATCTGTTTCACCTTCTTTGAAATTACACTATTAATTATCCTTTCTCCTTTATCTTCAACTACTTTATTGGATCCTTTCTGTCAACATTTAAACATGTTCCAGTCTCCATCTTAACAACAATAAGCATTTTTAAAAATCTCCATTAAAAAACTCATTTTCATTTATAAAAGGTAAGTAAGTCCAAGAGATCTACTCTACAGCATAGTGCCATGGGTAGCATATTGTATTGTATACCGAAAAATTTAGTAAGAGGGTTGATCTTATATTAGGTGTTGCTATAAAAAGTAATAAGAGGGTACAAGAAGAAACTTTTGGACATGATGGATAAGTTTATGGTGTAGATTGTGATGATGGTTTCAGAGGTATATACTTACCTCCAAAGTCCTTAAGTTGTATACATTATTATGTACAGACTTTTGTATGTCAAAAAGAAAAAAATCTTTTCTTGATTCCGATTTCTCCTCTGGCAAAAACTTGGTAAGATAATACAAGAAGCTATAGATTTCTCATTTATGAGTATAAATATGTGTCCTAAATATAAGCAAATCAAATTCACTAGTATATCAAGAGAAGATACAACCTGACAAAATTATTTTGATAAAAGGAAATCTATCCGTGTATTTCATTACATTACAGGACCCTGGGATAATAACCTGGGCCAAAGACCCTGGGATGATGCTCAACTGACTGAGCTACCCAGGTGCCCCTTTATTTATTTATTTATTTTTAAGATTTTAATTATTTATTTGAGAGAGAAAGCATGAACGGGGGTAGGGAGCAGGGAGCCCAATGGCGGGCTTGATCCTAGGACTCAGGATCATGACCTGAGCTGAAAGCAGACATTTAACTGACTGAGCCATCTAGGTGCCCCTTTATTTATTTTTTAGATTTTATGTATTTACTTGACACAGAGAGAGCACAAGCAGGGGGACAGCAGGCTCCCCACTGAGTGGGGAGCATGATGCAGGGCTCAATCCCAGGACCCTGGGATCATGATGTGAGCCAAATGCAGATGTTTTACCGACAGCTACCCTGGTGCCCCTAAAACTATGATTTTTTTTTTTTTTTAATTACAAAGAATGGCATGTGGGTGGCTCAGTGCGTTAAACCTCTGCCATTGGCTTAGGTCATGATTTCAGGGTCCTGGGATCGACCCCCAGATCAGGCTCTCTGCTCAGCAGGGAGCCTGCTCCTCATCCCCCCGGCCCCCCTCTCACCTGCTACTCTGCCTACTTGTGATCTCTCTTGCTCTGTCAAATAAATAAATACTTAAAAATACTAAAAAAAAAATTATTGTGATATAGGAATAGGCAAATAAATGATTGGATCATAACAGTTTAGAAATAGACTTGACTTTTCTATTTGGTAGGAAAGTATGGTTTACTAATAAATAATGCTGGCATTACTGGTTGTCCACATGGAAGGAAATAAAATTGGACTTGTATTATGTAATAAATGCACATCGGTTAAAGAAAGAATACAAATGTATTGGAAGAAAAATTAAGGGAATAGTTGTATAACTAAAAAGTTTAAAAAGGTCTTCCTAAGCAAGGCAGGAAGCCAGGAAATCAAAAAGAAAAGATGTGGATACCTTCCTATAATTTAATTTAAATAAATAATTTAAATAAGTATTAAGTTAAAACCTGTTGTATGATAAAATCATAAACTGAATATAAAGGCAAAAGACAGAAAAATGGGTACTTTTTTAGTTCTCATTTGGGATTGCTCTTGGCATTCCCCACCCCTCTAACCCAGGTTGCTCTATTTATTAAAATTATTTGATCTCTTGTTTGAGGGTCAGCTTACTATGTGGGGGAGAAAAACCAACCTATTTACTGTGAGAAGCAAGGGGTCAATGCCCTGGTGTTAATTCCCATTTGGGCCCTGTATCTCAGTGGCAAAGGAAGGAGTATCTATGTCTTCCACAGTTGGAGGGGGCAGCTGATGTTCTCGTGAGGCCTCAAACTTAGGGCTGGACCTAGGACCTCGGAGTAAGATCTCCCAAAACCTCTCAAAGGTGAGCAGCCCTATCACTAGCAATGGATCTAAGGACAAGTAACTTTTTGGAACATGAAAAACCTCACAGGGAAATGCTCTCAGAGGGAAAAAAAAAAAAAAAAAAAAAAAAATCAAAGTTCCATGCCAAGAGCCAGCCTGAGAAGTTGGGGCTGTTCCAAACAATTCTTTGTGATGGGTTGTTTGGAAGATGATACTGGAAGGCCAGACTGACACTTTGGGTCCCCCAGCAAGGGCCCAACCAGACCCTTCAGGCTTCTATGGATCAGCCCAACCTGTCATGTGACAGTGGCTCCCAGGAGTGCTCTGCTAAAGCAGAGCTCACTTTAGGAGTCACCAGACTCCTAATACAAGACTTGCTTCCCACAGCCTCTGACAGAGGCTGTTCCATGCCCAGGCAGAATCTGTCCTTAAACAGCAAGCGCCATTGAGAAATGCCCACAGGAGGACTCAAATACTTAGACTCCATTTGGTGAGGAAGCAAGGACATGAGTGTTGATTGCCTAGCCTCAAGGCTTGCTGCAGTTGATGGCCTATGAAGAAACTACTCTCTTCTGGAAGCCAATTAAAGGCAGTATAAAGGTGAGCTGAGAAGCCTTAGCCTTACATTAGTTTAGAAGCTATCCTGCCAAAACTTTAAGTAGAATAGCAATTCCAATTAGATTTCCAGAAACAGTTTCTCTTTAAAGTCTTTACCCCCTACATACTTAAGCAAAATCAAACGTCCTATAAAAAGTGTAGTAGCAAGAGGAGAGTAGGAAGAAAGTAAGAGGTGGTGTTAAGCCCATTTCAAAAAGGAGGACATGATTAACAGCAAACGCTGAAGAGAGGTCAAGTAAGGTGATGTCTGTGGGTCTCTTCGATCTGAGAAGGTAGAGGTCAATTTTGGTAGTAATAGGGTGATAATTTCAGAAGCTAGGAAAGAGAGTATGCTTGTGGTCTTCAAACATTTTTGCTGGTGTACTACCTACAATAATGTCAAAAACCCATTACCTCCATTTTAGAGATGACATATAAAAGTTTTGTTAATAACTGAATAGTTGCAAAGAATATAACTTTTTTAGAAATCCTGACATTTGAAAATAAAATTAATACATCTTTAAAAAAATGTACTCAATGAAATATAAATACCAGAGTAATAAGAAACCTATAATCATCCATTAAAAAATATACAAACTATCCTCCAAAAATGTTGTACCAACAGTATAGGAAAGTGTTCTTTCTCCAACATGCTGACACTGAATATTATTAATTTTCAAAGATTTTGCCAATCTGATAGGTGATCTGTTTTCTTTTGCATTTGCCTGATGAATAAAGCTACATATAATTTCAAATGTTTTTTGGCTACTTTTGTTTCATCAGTGTAATATTTATCCATATATTTTTTCTATCTTTTTTTTCTATCCATGTATTTTGTGCACTGTTCTATTAAGTTGTCTTTTTCCTACCAATTTGTAGGATTCTTTGTATATTAGGAATGTAAATCTTTTTTATTATGTAGGTTGCAAATATTTTCTTAGTGATTTGTTTTAAATTTTTATTTATGAAGGCAACACTTTATTTTTTTTAAAGTGTTTATTTAAGTAATCTCTACACCCAGTGTGAGGCTCAAACTAATGACCCTGGAATCAGGAGTTGCCCAGTCCTCTGAGTGAGGCGGGCATCCCTGAAGGCAACACTTTAAATGGGAAGTTCTCTGATGCCTGGGTGGCTCAGTAAATTAAGGGTCTGTCTTTGGCTCAGGTCAGGATCTCAAGGTCCTGGGATTAAGTCCCTCACTGGGCTCTCTGCTCAGTGGGGAGTTGGCTTCTCCCTCTTCTTCTCCCTTTGTGCACTCTCCCTCTCCTTCTCTCTCAAATAAATAAATAAAATCTTTAAAAAAAAAATGGGAAGTTCTCTAACTTCAACTTTGCCTAGATTTTAACTTTCTTGGTAATGTAGGGTTGACTCTGGTGATCTTCACTTCTTGACTTAAAAGGTCAGCCTGAAATGGAGGCTCATTTTTTTTTTTTTTTTTTTTTAAAGACTTTCATTTATTTGACAGACAGATCACAAGTAGGCAGAGAGGCAGGCAGAGAGAGAGAGGAGGAGGAGGCAGGCTCCCCGCTGAGCAGAGAGCCCGATGTGAGGCTCGATCCCAGGACCCTGGGACCATGACCCGAGCCGAAGGCAGAGGCTTTAACCACTGAGCCACCCAGGCGCCCCTGGAGGCTCATTTTAAAAGGCTTGCTGGAGGGGTACCTGGGTGGCTCAGTGGGTTAAGCCTCTGCCTTCGGCTCAGGTCATGATCTCAGGGTCCTGGGATCGAGCCCCACATCAGGCTCTCTGCTCAGCAGGGAGCCTGCTTCCCCTCTTTCTCTGCCTGCCTCTCTGCCTACTTGTGGTCTCTCTCTCTGTGTTAAATAAATAAAATCTTTAAAAAAGGAAAAAATGGCTTGCTGGAGGAAAGGTGGGAAGCAGTGAGCCCTTCAGAAGACAACTAAATAACCCTTTTATATATAGATACAATACTGTATATACTGCTGTTGCTCTAGATGTATATATTGTACCTACTGCTCAAAAAAAAAAAAAAGGCTTGCAGTGTTCAGGTGAATCTAGAAGATAATTGGATCTTATGACAACTATGCCAATTAGAATATTTAACATACAAAGATGCAAACAATAGGGCAGAATATATATTTTGAAAATTTAATATGGAAAAACCAAGAACATGTAACAAATGTATTTTATTTAATGAATGAGCAAATCTAAATCATTTTGTTACTAGATTTTCATCAAAAACAAAGGAATGTGGCACAGAATACTATCCTTTCCTTCAAAAAAACCTCAGACGAGTTTGTCCATCAGCTCTACCAGGGACTTTTTCATACACCAGACGCCGTTTTTTGAATTGTGGTAGTTGTGAGCACATGAAATCTGTTAAAAGGAGAAAAAGGAAAACCATTTTATTTCTGACAGTAATAAAGTGTAGCTATTTTTTCTAGCTATTCTGATGCATCCTATCTCTTCATCTATCTACAAAGTGTTAAAATTTCCAAACTGAGATAAAATGACTATAAAAATTACATTTTTATCAGAAATGCACCTGTAGGGGTGCCTGAGTGGCTCAGTGGATTAAGCCTCTGCCTTGGCTCAGGTCATGATCTCAGGGTTCTCGGATCAAGCCCCACATCCGGCTCTCTGCTCAGCGGGGGGCCTGCTTCCTTCTCTTTCTGCCTGCCTCTCTGCCTACTTGTGATCTCTGTCAAATAAATAAATAAAATCTTTTAAAAAAAATGCACCTGTATCTAATAGCCCAATACTAATTAGTATCATGTACACATATTTTTATGCTCATACTTTGCACAAATAATTAAATCTCCCTGGATTTAAGACCCTTTCATTTAAGTTTTCCCTCATTAATTACCTTCTATCTGTAATGTTGTAGAATTTATCCTGAGCTCTGATATATGATAGGTGGTGATCATGTATGGACTCACCTTCTATGGCTGTATTATATATGACACTTTAGCCTGAAATATCCCAAATTTGGATTCTTATTGAGGTTAATTAAATCAGTAAAAAAGGAGGCTAAAATATTTAAAACTATTTTGGTAATTATTCCTGGAAATGTAATCTCGTAATTAGAAGAGTTGGATGCCATTATAAGCAAATTTAAAAAGCAGTATAATAGATAATTTTTATCATAGAGATCACAAATACACATCTATAAGACAGATGGAAAATTACCTTGAGATTATGCCAATGGCTTTGGATAAATTGTCTAGGCCTGAATTGATATGAATTCTAAAAGTTTGTATCTTAAACAGTGAAGGTAATGATGTGCTATGGGAAACCCACAGTAAAAAAGTCAAAAGTTTCCATAGTGATAATGATACTAGTATCAAAGATTCATGTAAACTGTTTGAATAAAATTATTTTATGGAATAAGTTTGAAAGTGGAAAAAAGCAATATTTCTAAACAAAATTATTTATCTAATATATGATTTAAAAATATATTTATGATTAAGTTAGTGAATTAAAATATAAGTAGATATTTGACTATTCCATCCATATCCCCAAAAGCTTAAATATAAAAGTTATTAGAAATGATTTCTGAGGGGTGCCTGGGTGGCTCAGTGGGTTAAAGCCTCTGCCTTCGGCTCAGGTCATGATCCCAGCATCCTGGAATCAAGCCCCGCATCGGGCTCTCTGCTCTGCAGAGAGCCTGCTTCCTCCTCTCTCTGCCTGCCTCCCTGCCTGCTTGTGATCTCTCTGTCAAATAAATAAAATCTTAAAAAAAAAAAAAAGAAAGAATTTCTGAGATCTTCTCATTGAGAAAATGGGAAGATTTTCCTATACATTGGGATGACTTAAGTTCAAGAACCTATAGTAATTCACATGCTTGATTTGGTTCAAGATGGGAAAAAAATGGAATTTTTAATTCAGTTCACTTATGAAGCTGGAATAAACTTCATGTCAAAAATGTGACAGTACAAGTAAAGAACACAATAGGTTAATTGCATTATGAATATAGATATGAAAGTCACAAATAAATATTAGTAACCATATTCAACAAATTGAAAGAATCACTCTTCCAAAGCCAATTAAGTTTATTACAGAATAATAAGAATGATTTAATATTAGTAGACCTATTATAATCCTTGACTTTAATGGATCAAAGGAGAAAATATATTTGATTTTCCCCAATAGGCACCAAAAAATATTTGGATAAAATTTGGAAACTATTCCTCACAGAAGTTCTTATAAAACTGAGATAGAATAGTTCCCATTAAGATCAGGAACAAAACAAATTATGATTATTAAATAGGATCAAATCCAAGTTTTGTGAGTCCTGGCATTTATACAGTTGATCCTTGAACAATGAGGGCTTTAGGGATGCTGTCTCGCCCTACTCAAAAATCTAAATATAGCTTTCTTTTAAAGTAATCTCTGCATCCAACATGGGGCTCAAACTCATGACCCTGAGATCAAGAGTCACATGCTCCACCGACTGAGCCAGCAAGGCACTCCAAAATTCTATATATAACTTTTGACTTCTCTAATACTTAACTACTAAGAGCCTACTGTGGACTAGAAACCTTACTGATAATAGTCAATTAACACATATTTTGTATGTTATATGTATTATATACTGTATGCTTATAAGGAAGTAAGGTAGAGAAAAGAAATGTTATAAAGAAATCTTAAGGAAAATATATTTATAGTACCATATTGTATTTATCAAAAACTCCATGTGTAAGTGGACCCACGCAGTTCAAACCTGTGTTTTTCAGGGGTCAACTGTACAGTTTGGGAGGTCCTCTTTATTTTATTTTATTCTTTACTTAATTTTTATTTATTATTATTATTTAATCCCAGTATAGTTAACATACAGTGTTATATTAGTTTCAGGTGTACAATATAGTGATTTATCCAAACCCATATATTACTCAGTGCTTGTCATGGCAAGTGAACTCTTTAATCCCCATCCCCTATTTCACCCATCCACCCACCTCCTCTCTGGTGACATCAGTTTGTTCTCTATAGTTAAGGGTAGGTTTCTTGGTTTGTTTTTTTTTTTTTTCTTGTTCCTTTGTTTTGTTTCTTAAATTCCACATATGGGTGAGATCATATGGTACTTGGGGAGGTCTTCTTTTAACAAAACAAAGAATACCAGATTTTCTGGGAGTCTCTCAAGACTCACAAAAGGGCCTCTGCAAAAAAGGAGCTTTGAAGTTTAAGCTTCTCCCCTTTTTATTTATTTTTTTCCCATCGTGGTAAGGCTACATTTGTATGGCCATTAGAACTTAATATTTTGTTCTAGATGTTCAAGCCAATGTAATAAATGACATAGAAAATAGAGGTACAAGAGGTATCTTTACCAGGAAAGAGAAAACTGTCCTTTTAAAAATTGATATGATTAGGGGCGCCTGGGTGGCTCAGTGGGTTAAAGCCTCTGCCTTCGGCTCAGGTCATGATCCCTGGGATCAAGCCCTGCATTGGGCTCTCTGCTCGGCAGGGAGACTGCTTCCCTTCCTCTCTCTCTGTCTGTCTCTCTGCCTACTTGTGATCTCTGTCAAAAAAAAAATTTTTTTTTGATATGATTAAACGTTCAGAAGCATCAAATGTAAAGTAGAGCTAATAGTAGTATTTATCTGATATCTATTTAATAGTATTCTCAGAATTCAGTAATCTGCATAAAGGGCCTAGAAGGGCATCTGGCCTATAATAAGCTCTTAATAAAGGTTATCCCATTAAATATTCCTGCCCAACAAAGAAGTTAATTTTCTAATTCATTGATTTCTCTGGTTAATCTTTGCTAATTTTATAGTGTTCAGCTTTACTTAGACTTGTTCTAAGGTTTTATTTTTAACTTCTTAAATTGAATGCTTAGTTCATCTAAAGCTATAAGAATTTGACATATTTTGTTTGCATTTATTTTCTTAGATGTCTATAATTAGAATTTTGATTTTCTTTTTGACTCCAAAGTTATTGAAGATTCTTTAAGTATATTAATTAAAGCAAACTTTTTTTTTAAATTTAGAGATGGTTCTATCTTTTAATATTACATGTGTAAGGGGTACCTGGCTGGCTTATGTTGGGATGGCATGTGACTCTTGATCTTGGGATCATGAGTTTGGGTCCCACACTGGGTGTAGATATTGGAAAAAGAATAAATAAACTTAAAAAAAATTACATCTCTGAGTAGTTTTATTAACATTAGGTAGTGTTACCTGGTAATGATTTCTTGTCTCCTGAGTTAGATGAGGAGTCACAGTGCCTCTTCTGTCCTAAACATTTTCCAGCTCTTTGTTGGAAATAAAGACTGAATTCTTTTTTATTTACATTAGGATCAGAAGCACAAAATAAATCCAAACTGGGGGCAGACGGTAATTCTTTCCAGGAAGTCCTTTTAGTCCCAGCATTTGACCTTTCACATATGAAGTCTTCTAACTCATCAGATAGACATTTTTGCTGATTAGTGAATAAATTATCTTCCTGAGAGTACCATTTGTCACATGCAGTCTGCTTTGCACCATATTTTAAGTTGAATGAGTGATTCTGTTGTTCCCATATATCTTTCTTAAAGTTCCAGGGAAGAGGAGATTGGGAGCCTTCTAGTGAAAAGCTAGGGGCAGACACTTCTTTATTTATATGTCCTTTTGCATCATGTGTTCCCTTTTTCTGGTAATTTATAAAATTAGGGGCAACTCTCTTCTGAATGTCAATTGGTGATACTATGTTTTCATAGTTTATTTGTGTTAGATCCAAACAAAAGACATCTGACTCTGAATCATTTTGGTTTTGAAAGGAGTCACCAGCTACATTCCTTGATTCTGTATTAATCAGGAAAGGATTATGCACTATGTTTGGGTTACAACTGGAGTCTTTCCAGCAGCTGGCCTGATTGTAAGAAGTCACAGGTGGTAAAACGCATGGCATTTCTCTTAGTTCCATAAGGGAAGAGTTATAGTTTGAAGAGCTGTTTGTGTCTCCGTGCACTGCCTCTCCTATATCTGAAAAGTGGTAATTTTCATTATGTCCTTGAAAGACAGAGTTTGAAGAGCCAGAAGCTGAACTCTGGGAGGTGAAGGTACTAGTCTGATTTCCATTTTCCTGAGGTGATGGACTTTGAGGTGAGTTTGTTATGGAAGAAGAACTAATCTTGAATAAGGAAGTGATGCTACAAAAATGCTAAAAAATTTTAAAAATTAATTAATATAATACAAACACAGTATAAACATCAGTCAAGTAATATAAACAAATATAAACATTAGTCAAGTAAATATAAATAACAATGCTTATCTATATGTAAAGAAGGTAAAATATAAATAAAATAAAATAAAAATAAATAATATATTAATATAAATATAAAATATAAATATACATATAAAATAAAATAAAATATAAAATAAATAAATAAAATAAAATAAATAAAATAAAAATATAAATAAGTAGGGTATTATAGTGATCCATGTCGTAAGAACATAATTAGGCTCCATTAAAAGAAAAACTTATTATAATTAGAAAATCCATTTTCTAATCCAATTTCTAATCCATTTTCTAATCCAATTTCTAATCCATTTTCTAATCATAATTTAATAGAGTTTTGAGTTATACAAGTTATACATGAATACCATCTGCTTGATAAAAATTTAAAATTTTTACCAATAAGGCTAAAGTTTTCTTTATTACTATAATGAAGGGCATCAGGATTGTAAGCACATATGAATAGAGTGTGTGATCACATACTTGTGGGCACAATAACATTTCAAAATAATTTAAAGTGTGATAAACTGTACTGAATTATCTATATAGGATAGCTTGAGAATTCTATGTGAAATTTAGTTCAAGTAAATTATTTCTTTGCTACATGAAGTCCAAAACAATTAATCTTGGATACCTTCATTTTTGAAAACTGCTATGGTAAGTGGAAAGGAAATAAACTCATGTAAGACTATGGAATTCAAATAACTAACCTTTAACACTTTTTCTGGAACTTCAGGTAAAAGCTCCTGAAGTTGACACAGAGTTGCTAATAATATCCAGTGCAGTGAACGTCCTTTATTTAACATGAGCTGAGCCACCAATGGGTTAATACATGGAAAATCAAGTAAGTACATTTCTTCCTAGAAAAGAGTTTAAAGGAATAATCAGCCACTAGTCATTTGCAAATGACCCATTTTATTCTGCTCAATCTAGCATATTAAATTTTTTGTCATTGCATCTCTCCTCAATTTGAGATGTCTGGGAAATAAGTATGACTAGTAGGGAAAGGAACTTCTTTGGCAGTTAAGATTCATATGCTCTCAGAATTAAGAAAGATCTTAAAGTTCATTCACTTAAATCACTCATCCAAAAAATTTTATTACAGTTCATCTCCTTTGAATGACAACTGTTTTACCTAATGGTAGATTTTCTAATGAGAAATGTTTTAGGGGACTTTTATAACTCAAGATTTCTTTAGCTATCCCTTTATAGGCCATATACCACTATCACTATTTGATTAAGATGAACCATATTTATGAGAAACCATGTTTATGATACTTTCAGGAAAGCCTTGCTGTGAAGAGTATAGGAAGAACTTGTGTCGACCATAACTGACCTTAATGGTCTAAAAATGTGTGTTTTCAGAGAGATCTCATAAAAGTCTAGAAATATAGCAGCCATGTTTTACTATTACTGCATTTCGTTTTCTTTCTGCATTACACTGGCTTTTTGCACCTTCTTTGATTTTTATCAAATGACAGACATGTGAGTAGATTAGACATGCCTTGGTGAGAGAGAACCTGCACAGACATACATACATCCATAATTAATTATACCCATACATGCTGATAGTACTATTTTCTGTTTAGGCATATAAAAATTCTGTAATTTAATAAATATGAATGTTTGATGAACGTATATGAATACATTAATATTTTATTAAATTTATTTTCTTTATAATTTTATTTTTTAAATAGGTAAATAGTCACATGGTTCAAAATTCAAAAGGTACTAAAAGGTGTGCAGTAAAAACTCTCATCCTAACCCATTTTCCTAGTTCTCTCTGGAGATAACTAATGTTATCATTTCTTGATATCCTTGCAGAGATGTTTTATTCATTTACAAACACTTATAAATATTAATTTCCTTTGTTTTATACAAGTGGTAGTATACAAGCTCTATGCTGCAACTTCATTTTTCATGTAATATATCTTGAAGATCATTCTATATTAGTATGTAAAAAGCTTCATTATTTTTTTTTACATTTTCATGATTTGAATATATTAAAAAAAAGGTAACAAAGATACTAGGTTGGTATAAGAACTTGGAAATATTTATGCTTAAACAAAAGGAATTTCTAAGAATTAACTAATCAATCTCAAATATTTCAAAACTCTACTTTCAGTTTCAATTATGTAACTGAATTACTGAAAAAATGGAAGGATGGAATTTTGCGGTACTCATGTTTACTACTCTTAAATGTTTAAATTTAGGAACTAGAAAAAGTTATCTTTTGAAAATATTAGACATTAAAGTCATTATATCACACTATAATACACTTGATTTGAAAGTTCATTATAAAAGATCTCATTAAAATACTTCTGTGAAGTTGAAAAATACCCATGATTCTGGAAAACGATCTAAATAAATGTTGTACATATGGTTACTGCTATATATGCTCATGCAAACATTAACGGACAAAAATAAGCTACCAAAAAGAGAATTCTAGTACATGTATTTATATTTGCCTTGCAAATATCTAATTTACATATTTAGGAAATGAACCTTAGATGGTGAAACTTCAAGCCAGGATTTATCCAACCATTCACGAGGATCTCTCTTCGAGGTCATTAAATTGTGATCAGCAATTTGCCGAATTATCAGTGCAGCCTCTTCCACTCCTGGGGCAATTATAAGCTAAAATATATTTTTTATATATTAGATTATAGGAAATATTAAGAAGCAAAATATATAATTCAGAAATTGTTTGTAATTAGAAGAAAAAAAGCCCAGCAGATTTCCATCTTTGAATATAATTTTAGATATAATTTACTAAAATATGTGAAAGCCAGCATATTTTGTGAGGATAAGCAGTTTTCTTTCCTTCTTTAAATATGATATCCTTATAGTTTTCCAATTTTTGGAGCTAAATTTCTTCATTTCCATTTTGTATTTATTAATAAATTTATTAAAAATTTGGATGCTGTTTATAATATTTACTATTTTTGTTTTTTCCAAGTTAAATCTAGCAGTTCTCAAAAATAAGAATTTAAGGGGCACCTGGGTGGCTCTGTTGGTTAGGTGTTTGCCGCCAGCTTAGGTCATGATCCTGGGATCCTGGGATCAAGTTGGGCATTGGGCTCCCTGATCCATGGGGAGACTGCTTCTCCCTCTCGCTCTGCCAGCCACTCCCTGTGCTTGTGCTAGCTCTCTCTTTGTCAAATAAATAAAATCTTAAAAAAAAAAAAAAGAATTGGGGCGCTTGGGTGGCTCAGTGGGTTAGGCCTCTGCCTTCGGCTGAGGTCATGATCCCAGGGTCCTGGGATAGAGCCCCGCATCGGGCTCTCTGCTCAGCGGGGAGCCTGCTTCCCCCTCTCTCGGCCTGCCTCTCTGCCTACTTGTGATCTCTCTCTCTCTGTTAAATAAATAAATAAAATCTTTAAAAATAAATAAATAAAATAAATAAGAATTTATTTTTTAAAAAGATATGATTTTTCAAAATGATATTAGAAGATAAAGGATAGGGGCACCTGGGTGGCTCAGTGGGTTAAGCCTCTGCCTTCGGCTCAGGTCATGATCTCAGGGTCCGGGGATTGAGCCCTGCATCGGGCTCTCTGCTCAGCAGGGAGCCTGCTTCCTCCTCTCTCTCTGTCTGTCTCTCTGCCTACTTGTGATCTCTCTCTGTGTCAAATAAATAAATAAAAATCTAAAAAAAAACAAAGATAAAAGATATTTGCCAATGAATTTGATGCTGTATTTGATGCTAATGAAAAACATTATTTTTTAAAAGATTTTATTTATTTGACAGCACAAGCAGGGGGAGCGGCAGGCAGAGGGCAAGGGAGAAGCAGGGAATGCAATGCAGGGCTCTATCCCAGGACCCTGGGATCATGACCTGAGCCGAAGGTAGATGCTTAACCAACTGAGCCACCCAGGCACCCCAAAAAGGAAGAAGTTTTGATTTAGAATATTTTGGGAATTGTTCCATCCAATACTGGCTTATTTGATGCTAAGCTCTGTGTGTGTTAAACCTAACTCTAAAAAAAAATTTCTTAATATCTCTTACTTCCTGTCTGTCACTTGTGTGTTTCCTCCATGCCTTTCTTTCAAAATGCCAGCCTTTTTCGTCTGCTTTCAGTTCCATTTTTTACTTCTTCATCTTTTAGATTCAGTTGAAGTAAAAATAGTCCATGGGTTAGCAGGCTTTTTTAAAAAAAAATTATTTATTTAATTTACAGAGAGAGGAGGTTGGGGAAGAGGGAGAGGGAGAGAGAGTCTTAAGCAGACTCTGTGCTAAGCAAAGAGGCCAACAGATGGCTCAGTCTCAAGACCCGGAGATCATGAGTGGAGCCCAAACCAAGGGCCAGTGGCTCAACTAACTACCACCCAGGCACCCTAGTCCATGGGTTAGCAGTTTAATGTGAATAGGAAACACTGCCCTAAATAATCATATCTTAGAAATATAAACATCCTGTCCTGTAGTGAAAATTCAAGAAACAAAGACTGTACAAACCTCATAAAATAATTATGACAATATTTTCTTTCACAAGATAACAAAAAAACTGTTAGTACATAAAACTGGGGAGTATATGTATTCTAAAGAAGGATTTTCTTTAAATTATATTAAGTAGGTATAATTTTTTTTTCTTTTTTTTTGAGAGAGAGGGAGAGTAAGCAGTTGAGGAGAGAGGAGGAGGGGCAGAGTGAGAGGGAAAGAGAGAATCTTTTTTTTTTTTTTTAAAGATTTTATTTATTTATTTTACAGAGAGAGATCACAAGCAGGCAGAGAGGCAGGCAGAGAGAGAGGAGGAAGCAGGCTCCCCGCTGAGCAGAGAGCCCGATGCGGGGCTCGATCCCAGGAGCCTGAGATCATGACCTGAGCCGAAGGCAGCGGCTTAACCCACTGAGCCACCCAGGCGCCCCGGAAAGAGAGAATCTTAAGCAGGCTCCATCTGCCGTGGACTGGGGAGCCTGACTAGGCCTCAACTCAGGCTTAATCTCATGACCCTGAGATCATGACTTGAGGTAAAATCAAGTCGGTTGCTTAACTGACTGAGTCACCCATGCACTCCAAATATGTATAGAATGCACAGACATAAGAGTTTTTGATTCCAAATTAATTTTTTAAGAAGATTTATTTGACAGAGATCACAAGTAGGCAGAGAGGCAGGCAGAGAGAGAGGGGGAAGCAGGCTCCCCGCCAAGCAGAGAGCCCAATGTGGGGCTCGATCCTAGGACCCTGGGATCATGAACTCAGCTGAACGCAGAGGCTTTAACCTACTGAGCCATCCAAGTGCCCCTCCAAATTAATTTTATTGCAGTTTTGGATATTTTAAGAAGATCTGATGCTGGGCGCCTGGGTGGCTCAGTGGGTTAAGCTGCTGCCTTCGGCTCAGGTCATGATCTCAGGGTCCTGGGATCGAGTCCCGCATCGGGCTCTCTGCTCAGTGGGGAGCCTGCTTCCCTCTCACTCTCTCTGCCTGCCTCTCTGCCTACTTGTGATCGCTCTCTGTCAAATAAATAAATAAAATCTTTAAAAAAAAAAAAAAAAAAAAAAAAAAAGAAGATCTGATGCTTTTATTTAAATATAAAAAGGCACAATTTTATGGTGATGGTAATGAATATTACCTTAATTTATGAGGCAAGGATTCTGGAGTTCATGGCTAGACTTTAGGAGATTCAGGGCCTCAACATTATTTTCAAAATTTTTCATATATGTTTACCTATGCATTTTTCTGTAAAAGGAGCTAATAACAAATTTATAGAACTTTTTGACATTAGAATAAAATACAGCATAACACTACTAGCAGTATTTTCTTTTAGCTTAAGAAAATGTCGTTAAGGGGCACCTGGGTGGCTCAGTGGGTTAAGCCTCTGCCTTCGGCTCAGGTAATGGTCCCAGGGTCCTGGGATCGAGCCCCACATGCGGCTCTCTGCTGAGCAGGGAGTCTGCTTCCTCCTCTCTCTCTGCCTGCCTCTCCGCCTATTTGTGATCTCTGTCTGTTAAATAAATAAAAAAATATTTTAAAAATTTTAAAAATAAATAAATAAATAAATAAATAAATAAAAGAAAAGAAAATGTCGTTAAACTTCTTAATGTTTCCTTTATGGCTAGGTCTTCAGATGCCTAAAAAAAATTTTTTTTACATCCATACTGATGTGCTCTAACAGGCCCAAAGCCATATTACTAAATTCAGTAAACTAAAGCAACAATATACTCTAAAATAATATGAGTCTAGGGAACCACTTGTATTTTTATTAATTTATTTATTTTTAAGATTTTATTTATTTATTTGACAGAGAGCATAAGCAGGCAGAGCAGCAAAGGGAGAGGGAGAAGCAGGCTCCCCCTGAGCAGGGAGCTGGATACGGGGCCCTATCCCAGGACCCTGGGATCATGACCTGAGCAGAAGGCTGTTGCTTAACCACCTGAGCCACCCAGGTGCCCCTTTAATGTAGTAATGTCATCAAGTCAGGAGAATAGGAGGCTTGAGTACTGGTGACATATTGATAATAGAGCAAACTGGTATTTGTTTCTTAAATTCTATGGAAAAACTGATCTACTTTTAAGATTATTATGTATAACTTGAAAAGCTCTTGGAATAGTTTGATCCAGGTGGGAGCAGACTTTTGTTTGGAATGGATTGTGCCTGGGCATACTTCCTGTGTCATCCCTAAATGCCTTCCTTGGAACATGTCCTCTATGGGCCATGTCACTGTACCTGAACATAGTATTGCTCACTAGTATCATATAACCCATATATAGAGGAATAAAATGATTCCCTGAAGGATATTTTGCAAATAACTGCTTAGCATTAGCTGAAAAGAGGCTGGTTAAGTAGTGAAACCACACTTGAATGGGTAAGGGAAATATACTTACATTTGCCATTCACTGATAACTTTTCCAAGAATTTTATTTCAATGTTTAATATGCATCACAGGATCAAAATGATTAGGATTCTATTTCAAATAGATAATTTGTTAATTTTCTTAACAGGTTGTGCTTTGATTTAATTCTATTCAGTAGATGTTTGTTGAACATTTTTACTGGGTACAAAGTACTGTGCTGGATGCTATACATTTTTCAAAGAAAAAGGTTCTTCCCTCCAGAGTGGAAGGCATATGAATGAATACATCACGCTACCATAAAGATATGAAGTGCTCTTGCGAGAACAGGAGGAGATTTATCTTGAGAGGGCAGACTTGGGACACATTTCTTAATGGAGGTAGTGTTTGAGCTGGGCAACAAAAGATATAACTCAAAGGCTAGCAGTAGGAGGAAGGGGGAGACAGCGTGTGATGACATGTTTGTGGACTGGCTGACTGTGATAGTGTGGACATATTCAGGAAATAGTGAGTAGGATGATGCTAAAGGAAGAATTACTAGGGGCCAAATTATGAAGTTTGAATCCAGCTGAGTTTGATCTCTATTTTGAATGAATTAGGGAGCTATGAAAGGTCTTTCGAGCAAGAAAATTTGATTTAACAACACATATTATCAAGAGTCTACTACATACTTGGTGCTGTGCTGGGTGCCAGGAACACGAAAACAAATAAACATGTTTCCTTTCTTTCAGGAGTTTACAGTTCAGGAAGTGAAATGTTCACAGCTTTATTTCAGAAATGTAATTGGTGTGAATCTATATTATGCACCAAAGGAGGACAACTAGAAATAAGGAGATTAGTCAGGAAGTTGCTTTAAAACTCTAAAAGAGAGACGAAGGTCTGAATTTGGGGAAAAGCAGTAGGAGTAGAATGGAGACACATATTCTAGAGAGACATTGCAGCTACAGATTAAGTTATAGTACTAATGCCATAAACTAAGTTTGGGGAGAATGAGAAGTTGTGTTTTGGACATGTATTATTTGAGGCACCTGTTGGATATTCATGTAGAGATTTCCAGTAGAATGCCAGAATATCAGTGTAGACCTTAAAAAAAGTCAAGAAATTTTTAAGAATTATACTCAGAAATGAAAGCTATATTTGTGGGAATTTTGAATTTATTAAGGAAAGAGTTAAAGTGGTAACAGAAGAGGAATGAGCCCTGAATTTGGGGGGTTATCTAAATTTCATAATAGGACATTGAAAAAAGAACCAAGAAAGGACACTGGTCAGGGATTACAGCAGATAAAAAAAAGTATATGTTTCTTAAGTGAACATATTTGATCAATGCATATTTACTTTTATTCATATCCTGCCAAGCAGCAACTAAGAGATAAAATATGACTTTAAATTTTTTAAGGGCTTTAATATTTATTTATTTATTTAATTTTATTTATTTGAGAGAGAGAGAGCACAAGCAGGGGAAGCAGCAGAGGGAGGAGAAGCCGGCTCCCCGCTGAGCAAGGAGGCCACACATGGCTTGAACCCAGGACCCTTGGATCATGACCAGAGCCAAAGGCAGGATGCTCAACCAACTGAGCCACCCAGGTGCCCCAAGGGACCCTTGTTCTAGAACAGAAGTTTAAATGGAAAGAATATTAATTTTTCAGTTTATTATTTTAATATTTCTTTGCACTGGGCACTTGAATTTGAGTATAATTTTGGTTTATGAAAAATACTTATAAACATTTAAAAAAAGAATACCTTTACATCCAGTTCTTCTGATTTTAGCCCAAATGATACCAAAGCTGCATAAATCAGTGCTAGATGATGAAGTGTTTTTTCTGTAAGATGGTACCTAAAAAAAAATTATATTACTATACTTATACTCATTTGATATCTGATTGTACCTAAACAGATTCAGATAGGAACACGTGACCAGAACCAGGATAACTAGAATCCTTCCTGGGTCTTTTCCTTGAACTGTTCGAAAAAACACTTTTTAAAATGATCATTATGTGATGTGATAGAGGTGTTAGCTAACCCTACAGTGATAATCATATTATAATATATAAATGTATCAAATCAGCATGTTGTAGACCTTAAACTTACACAATCTGGTATGTCAATCATATCAATTAAAAGAACACTCCTTTTCCCCCCGCTATGGGTATTAAGCAGATCAGATGTGAGTCTTGAGCTATCTGCCTTGAGCTACTGACTTTATCCCCTTTAAGTACCCTAAGCAGCAAAAAGGAAATTTATTGGTTCATTTTACTAGGAAGTCCAGGAGAAGACATTATTGGGTCCAGGGACTCAAACCATGTCATCAAGACAAGGTCTCCTTAATTTCTTGGCTCTCCTTTCCCCTGCTAGTTTTTTTTCCCTCGGGTTAGCTTTTTCCATAAGAGTGGCTGACAAGAATGGCTTACTGTGCTTAAACTATTTGTACAAACAATGTGGTTTCTGCTGAACACCTGCTTTTCTTCTTGGGAGTCTAGAATTTTAATATGTGCTAGGCAGAGAGTGCCTACATGATCAATCCTTAGTGAAAGCCCTGGGGATTGAGTCTCTAGTGAGTTTCCCTGGTACACAACACTTTACAAGTGTTGTCACAACTCTTTCCTGTGGAAATTAAGCATATTCTATGTGATTCTACTAGGAGAAGATTCCTGGAATCTTCCTTCTAGCTTCCTCTGGATTTTGTTCCATGCACTTTTTCCCTTTGCTGATTTTGTTTGGTAACAATTTACTATAATAAATCATAGTCGTGAGTATAAGTAAGGCCGAGTCCAGTGAATCCTTTTACCAAATCATCAAAAATGGGGGTAGTCTTGGGGACTCCTAACACATTTTCTTAAACAAGAACTAATGGCATGAACTACGAAGGTAATTCAAGCAATTTTATTTTGTATGTTGAATTTTCCTCATTTGGTCAGTTGATTAAGATATTTCTTAAATATCTAAAAATATGGAACTGAGAAACCTAGAAGTCTGAAAATAGCTACATTTTATAATAATATCTTATTGTAAATAAATAACTCTTCATATCCTGAACATCAAACTATCTCAGACTATTACATAACTGGGTTTTTTTCCCCATGAAAATCTGGGTAAAAATAGGTGTGACTCCCTCTTTCTTGCTGTACTTCAATTATACCTCTGGAATATAGGTGACTAGCAATCTAAAAACAACCTAAATTTTTTTCCTAATCAGTTTCATCTATAAGATACTTCCAAGATCTTGAAAAAGTTAAATGCTTTACAAGTAAGTTCCAAGCTTAAAATGCTATACAGCCTTTACTAATATTCAAAATGAAGATTTTTAGACCTAAATTATTATTTTTATTTTTCAATTTTGGTAGTAAGGAAAAGCAAGGTTAAATGATTTGCTAGATGTTATTGTTATTAGAAAAAGAAATAAGAACCAAGGTGTTTGGACTCTTAAATTTTAACTTATACTTATGCCCCCCCCCAATAATAATAATTGTATACAAAGAGCTTGTATATTGGAGCTGTATACTGACTGGAAAGTCAGTAAAGGAAAAGAAATCACAAATGCAATGTCAAATAAGGAAAGATCTCTATACCTTCTCTATACCTATCTCTATACCTTATTTTTCTATACCTTCTAACTAAATAATATATAAAGACTTTACTTATTTGAGAGAGAGAGAGCGAGCGAGTGAGCACAAGCAGGAGGAGGGGCAGAGGGAGAGGGAGAAGCAGACTCCATGCTGTGCAGGGAGCCTGACACAGGGCTTGATTGCAGGACCTCAGGATGGTGACCTGAGCCAAAGGAAGATGCTTAACCAGCTGAGCCACCCAAGGCATGGCAGAATAAACAATACTTTAAAAACTTATACTATAAGTGATGTGGTAAGTGTTATGAGATACTGTAGAGATGTTAAAAAAAAAAAAAAAGGAGACCAGTTTGCAATTTAGTAGGAAAGATCC